TCATGACTTCCTACGCATAAATACTACTTACCAAATACTTTCAACCAGAGGCCCTACTTTTATTGACTCAGTGGTCTCAACAGTATCACCGCACCTTTTAGGAATGTCAAGAGTATGTGCTGGAAGAAGCATTTGCTAAATTTGGTGAACTCACTTCCGAATTTACTACCACCTTTGCTGAATGAAATACAGCTTTGGGCTCATAGACGCCGTAACAATCGAATTCAAGGAAAGCGCCTTGCTGAACGGATTGCCATTGGGTGGTTTTGGTCTCCTAACTTGACCTCATTAATTGGTACTATAACTAATTCACCTTATTTAACTAAATTATTAACGATTTTTGTGAACTAAGTGTTGCGTTTTCGGGCTTTATCTCTTACAATAATTAGGAAACATAAAAATCACTGCCTTCTGCCATGAATTAGATAAAAATCTGATGTGCTTATACAATTTAGTCCAAAATGGTAGACTACAAATATGCAAGTTGCTTAAAGGAACAAAATGAGACAAAAGAAGTCATAGCACGCAACTAGGCCAAATGCGGCTCCTTCACTGCATCGTAGTCCGACTGAATTTTAAGAGCCCGAGTCAATCTCAACGGATAACTTATCAACTGTCGCTGTTATAATCGGGAGCAGGCTTACTTGAGGGAATGAAGAGACCTACTAAAGGTGGTTGCGATGAGAATTGGTTGCATTAGCATGGTCAGTAAACCCAGTTGCACATAAATGGAAAAGATTTGCGGATCTTCATGTCGTATTTAAAAAAATTGCCTCACATAGGCGATACTATGTAGTCATCAAATGATATCAGTGGTACAATATTGGTTCCCCTTTCATGCAGTCCCTCCTTTGAGGGGACCAATTAGCATATCCAGCTAAAAAACTTTGAAGATAGTGTGCTTCATGCTTGTCTGAATAAATCCTTTTAGGTGGCAAGTAAGGGTATTGGACCAATCTCATGACTGAGCAGGCAACACCGGTCTCCATGGAGGAGATGGAGTGAACAGGCTCTAGTTTCCTAATAAATTTGCTTT